TTCTCTATTCTTAGTCTGCTTTTAAAATGAGGAATGAGAACAGGAGCCACAGAGTTATCTATCAACAGCACTCAGGGAGTGGACAACACAGGCACAGAAATCATCTGGCCGTAATCCTCCCCAGTAAATGAAGGAGGTTTCACACAGGGGTTCTTATTCCTAGTAGACACAAGACAAAAGCATCACTCTTTGATTCTCTAAAGAAGAAGACAGACAGACAGACAGACAGATTATCCAGAACTTAAAGGCTTGTATAGATGGGTACCTAAATCTCTATTTGCATCCCTTTTGGTACTGTTTGGTTTGATTCAATTTATGATGTCCTTATGTGTTTTTATTCAGAGTACCCCTTTTTAGAGCTCTCTCACTCCTTTCTGGCATAGCACTTTTTTCTTTCTTTCTTTCTTTCTTTCTTTCTTTCTTTCTTTCTTTCTTTCTTTCTTTCTTTCTTTCTTTCTTTCTTTCAGCACAATTTGGTGCCTTCCTAAGTATCCTGTTGCACAGCCTGTGTGGATGGTTAGTTTCCACCCAAATGGAGCTGTGGGTGGGTGTTCTATATGTAACCCTGTGACATATTTGATGGGTTGTAGCTTTGAAAGGGATGATGGGAACCCCCTTCCATTATTTTCATTTTATTTACTGATTTATTTTAAAAATGTATTTCCCTATTGATACAGTGCTATTCTAAATAGATGAGATATATTGGCTTGATGCATTGCTGTATTGCTAAATCACTTACTTTATTTAACAGCAGTCAGACTTCTTAGTGGGGTGAGAAAGCAGCAACATATCTCCCCCACTCTGGCTGCCTTGCATTAGCTGCCCATTCATTTCCACATTGATTTCAAAGTACTGTACTAATGATGACATATAAAGTCCTAAACGGTTTAGGACCTCAATATCTGGCAGAACGCCTCCTTCCACCTAGATCTAGTCAAGATGGGTGGCTGAGGGGCCTAACGCTGAGGGAGGCCCAAAGAGAAAGAACAAGAAAGCGGGCCTTCTCAGCAGTGGCCCCTCGCCTCTGGAACAATCTCTCCCACCCCCCTGCTCTGAAAGTTGTCTGGCTTCCTTGCTGGGTGTTCTTAAGAGCCAACTCAAGATCTGGCTTTTTAGGCAGGCCTTCCCTCCTGTCAATACTTAATGTATTGTTATCTTTATGGTTTAAATGTTGTTGGTTATTTTATTTTATTATTCTTGTATGTTGTTAGCCATCCAGAGTAGACTTCAGTCTAGATGGGCGGGATATAAAATAAATAAAATAAAATAAAACAACAAAAAAAGGAAAGTTTCCACAAATGGCTGAATGATCACTGTGGGAGAAGCAGGGAAGGGAGCTAAGTTGCCCACCACCACCAAATCAATCAACAAGTAACAGGCTCTCTCCCTCCCCCCATTGTTTTTGGCTTAGTGATTGCTTGGTAGGGGGAAGAGATGTGTAGAAAGTAAATCAAAGCAAACTTTTGAAAAAACTAGCTGAATTGGAGACTTGCATCCCTTTTAAGTCCAAATTCCCCCATCTAGGCAGGCCCTCAATCCCTTAAACCTAATGAGACTTCTGTCCACCAATACAGGTCAAGTACAGTGGATTAGTAAAAATTACACTGGGGAAGTCATCAGTTTAATAAATACATAACCTATCCTTCTTCCTAAAAACATTCCTTCCTTCCTTTGGTGTTGTTGTTGAAAGGGAACTATACATTATGCTTTTTGGGGATGGATGCTCTCTTTTCCTTCAAATAATGTGGTCTTCATGTCTTATTTTTATTAATTTCATAAATGTGTAATATTCTAAAGTACATGCTGAAAAAGATAGTAACTTGGAGAAATATGCAGATTAAGGTTGGCATTTCATAAAGGAAAGGAGGTTTTCCATTTGTTTACATGAATTAATTTCTCAATTCTATGCTATCAAAATACTCTTGACAGAATTTTTCTTCTTGGTGGCTAAAGGGAACATATTTTTTTACCTGTTTGTTTGTTGTTGTTCTTTAATAAGGACAGGTTGCTTCTTTTCTTAATTTTGAACTACTCAAACTACTAGACCTTTATAGGCTGACTGAAGATTTTGCAGCTTTCTGATGTATATTGCATTGACAAAATTATAATTAATTCATGTAAGAGTTTTTGTATATGGTAACTCAATTTTTGTTTGTAAGGCTTTGCACTTTTCTCGGGATGTAGTTTAGAATAAGCCAAATTCTGGATTGACCTCGATCACTTTGGAGAGATGTATTGGTTCTGACACATGAAACCGGATTCCCTTTGAAGCGACCGTGACAGAATTGGGGCCTTGCTGAAGCCTGACAAAATGTGCTCCTCCATTTTAAGTTTCCCTTATATGGAAGCCACAAGAATTGAGAGAGGGAAGGTGGGGTTGAGGAGGAGAAAGATTGCACAAATCTTTTATTATTATTATTAAAAAAAGAGTTACTCATCTGGGCTCGAATTTCTACAACCTGTTTGTGTATGTGTTAAAACCCACATGAACGCCCATGAATGCACACATACACTGTTATTTTCCTTTCATTAAAAGGAAAATGGCATTTCATATGGTCACTGGAAATATAATAATAAGTGTTTGCCATCAAGTCAGCTCTGGCTTCTGGTGACGCTTTCCAGGGTTTCCCAGGGGTTGATCATTGGAGGCACCCTGGAATTGTGCAACTTGCCCAAGGCCACATAGGCTGGCTCTTCTAGGATGCACAGTGAGGAACTGAACTCCAAACCTCTGGCTCCCCAGCCAGAAACCAACTAACTGAGCTACCCAGATGGTGTCACTGGAAAAATCCATACTTTCCTGTAAATTGGTGATAGAAATAGGTTTAAATATGACCGTCAGAATTTTTTTAGTGATTTCATAATTGACAGCATAATCCTATTGCTAGGATTCCCAGTGTGGTGTAGTGCAGTGGTTCTTAACCTTGGGTTACTCAGGTGTTTTTGGACTGCAACTCCCAGAAGCCTTCAACACCAGCTGTGCTGGCTGCGGTTTCTGGGAGTTGCAATTCAAAAACACCTGAGTAAGCCAAGGTTAAGAACCACTGGTGTAGTGGATAGAGTGAGGGGTTAAGACTCTGGAGAATAGAGTCTGAATCCCCACTTGGCCATGAAAACTCACTGGGGGAAGTAAAACTGGTAAAACCACTCCTTAAATATCTCACTTACCTTGAAAGGCCTCTTAGGATCACTATAAATCAGTTCTGACCTGATGGCACAGAACAACAATCCTATTGCTGCTGATTCCAAAGTAAGCCCCATTGAGTCCAGTAATTACACCCAACAAACTGTCTGTACCAACCTATTTGGTAGTACACAAGCCCAATAATCTCATAGAATCTCAAGGCTAAAGTACTGTATTTTTAAAATATCAAACATTTTTTCAAAATGACACATTGCTGTGAAATGTGGATTGGGATGTTGTCTAAGGTTTTCATTCAAATGTGCATCCCACCGAAAGCAATGAAACCCTTACATCAACTGTACACCCTGCAGTTCCTGATCTAGGAAGGGAAAACCAAGTCAAATCTTCTTACCCAGAGGCACTGGAGTAATTTATAACAAATAATAATCAGGTTCAGGTTCGGGGCAAAGTTGATGGAGATTCCATAGCTGATAAGACCACTGAAGTACTTTGGCTGTAAAGCAGCTGTTTTGGGCACAGATGATAATGTCAAGACCTGTGCTGAAATCACAGAATGGCCAGATGGGGCATAGCTTCCTTGTTTTTTATTATATGTGTCCGAGCTGTGTCTTTTAGAGCAGTGGTCCCCAACCTTGGGCCTCCAGATGTTCTTGGACTTCAACTCCCAGAAATCCTAGCCAGTAGAGGTGGTGGTGAAGGCTTCTGGGAGTTGTAGTTCAGGAACATTGGAGGCCCAAGGTTGTGGACCACTGTTTTAGAGAAGACCTTTGTTTGAGGTAAAACATTCTGGTTTGTAGCTTTCATTCTCACATAATTCCATTCCTCAGGAGGGGTGACAATCACTGGCTGCAGGGCTCTTTCTCTGAGTTTCATAGTAATGAAGCCAATGTCTGCTTTAAAAAGTTCAAAACGGAACTACTGATTACACTGTTTGCCTAGATCATATTGAATGTGGAAACGGAGGTGGCTTACTCCTCTCAGGATGCTATTCTACTCCAATAGACCCATAAACCATACTGAACATTTTTAGGCAGTACTGATTCCCTCTGTGCCCATGGACAGACTAAAAATGAAAATATTCAGTCTACATGAAAGAAATAGAAAGAGGCACAAAAACATCATCCTCTTATGGTTTACTTTTTACATTCCAGTACCCCGAAGTTTTATAGAATGTCTTTCTAAGTGATGTCACATTATATGAATGTGCAACTCTTGAAGGCTGTAGTCTTGGGAACATGCCCAAGAAATCCAGTTTGAAGGTCATTGTTAATGCCCCAGCCTTGAAGGTGACAGCTTGAGACTGGATTTCCCTCCTCCCATCGGTCACTGTGAAGGTTTCTTCTGAGTTTGGAACTTCTGATCTCAAAAGCAAAGGAGGGGTATTGCAGGGCATGGATGAAAGGAGGGTGGGCGAAAAAGGATGTGAATTTTCTGGTTCCACAGTTCCTCCAGCACGTGCATGCGCGTGAGCACGCGTGCACAAAGACACACACCAATGCATAAAGTGAAATGTAGGTGCATCTCAGAATATATCTCTCTTCTTCACCTGACAGATAAAAGCAATAATCTTTTAAGTTTATCCCTAGTTCAGAAAAGTTAGTTTGTTGCAATCTGACTGGAGGGTTCTAGAGGTGGTAGCCCAAAAATGGAATTTGCCCAAGTTGTGGTAGACATGTAAAGGAGAGCATTGTTAACCACCTTGCAATGCAATGAATTCATTCTGTTTTCATCCAACTTTTACTCTTTATTAACCGCAGCCATTCTGTTTGGTAGAATGATTATTTCCTGTTTTCAATAAAATCTTGGTGGATAAGTGACCTTCCTTTGCATCTGTCTTTTTCTCTTTTCTATATAGAAAACGTCGTAAGCAGTTTACCCGATCACAGCTGAAAAGAGCCTGTCGGACCCCATGCACTTTAATTCTGAGGAAAATGAAGTCCCTTATGACTCACAAAGAGATTCAAGAGAATTTGAGTAATCTTTCACAGCTGAAGACACAACCATGAAATCTGTGTTGGTGGTTACTTTAAAAGCATCACCTGGTAAAGAAGAATTTCTGAAGCCCTGCAGAAAGCTGTTCTTTTTCCGTGTCAAGAACAGTCTAGTGCTGGATCTAAGGAGTAAAATTCAGCTTTGGTCTTTCTTTGAGATAAGGCAACCAGGATACAAGACGATTTATGTTAAACCTTTTTCAGAGCATTGAGAATCACAGTTTGACGACAATTTCCTGAGAACACGTAGCCCTTTCCAGGGCAAATTCAGATAGCTAACCCATCATTTATGAATCTTTTTCTGCCAAGACTATCTTGTGGTGAATCATTTAAAGTTTTCTTAGTGACCTATGTAATCACAGGAGCCCTGTTTTTCAAAGCTCTGGGTGTATTGCAGTATCTCATTCCAAACATGGAGCTGTGTCTGTTGAAGGACAGATGCCAAACTGAATTGTCTTTCTTTAATTTTGGGATGTCCTGTTTCAGACATGCTGAATTTTAGAAGAAACCTACCATGTTTGATTTGAGGATCAAGAGGGAAAATATGAGCATGGAAGACTGTGGTTGAATTGGGTTTCCAAATACCAAATTTTTCCATTTATAAGAGGACTCAGTGTATAAGACAAGAGGGAAAATATGAGCATGGAAGACTGTGAAAGCAGTGGGTGAATTGGGTTTCCAAATACCATATTTTTCCATTTATAAGAGGACTCAGTGCATAAGACACCTCCTTTTCTAACCCCCAAATATAGAAAATTTTATCCCTCCCTTTTCTAACCCCCACATTAGAAAATTTTATCCCAGCAGGGGCTTAGGAAGTGGGTAACACAGCTGTGAAAGAGCTGCACAATCACAACTGTTTGATCCTGAAGCAGCCATGAAAGGGCTTCAGGATCAAAGGGCTACGATCATATAGCCCTTTCATCACTGCTTTACCTGAAGGGAGGCTTCCCTTCCTTTTTGTGAAGCCCCGTGGCTTCAGAAAAGGCAGGGAAATTGGCTGCCTTCTGTGTATAAAACGACCCTCAATTTTTTGTCTAATTGTTTAAGGGAAAAGTGTCATTTTATACACAGAAAAATACGGTATCATAGGTAACCGAGTCAGTGTTGTCTGCTTTAATGGAGTGGACTGTGTTGCTAAATAGGGTTGCTTGGGGTTGGGTAGAGGTCTGGTATGCCATTTGGTATGTTCCTCACATCCAAATGACATACTGGGTCTCAAGTAAACCTACTTGGTCCAGTTCCTTCCACTGAGAATTTCCCATGTCATGAAGTGGCTTAAGGAGCCATTTTGTGATATTGGCAAATTAAACACTTCCTCTACTCTGCAAAGGGGCAGAGGAAGTGAAAAAATAGACTGTGTTAGAACAGTGCTGACATGTTGCAGCATATCATATATATATATAAGAAACTTCCTCCCGGAAGTGAGAGGAGACAGGACAGAGCAGCAAGGCAGATTTCTTTTCTTTGAGACTTTTTTTAAAGATCAGATCAAGAACCTGCCCGGAGCTAAATCCCCTGCCAGCCCATACTTAGTTATAGATTTGGTTGAGGGCGGTTCTTGACCCAATCACAGAGCGGAAGAAGTGTTTAGTTTGCCAATATATTGAACTGTCTCTCTTCTTAAGGTAGTTCATGATATGGAAACTTCTGAGTAAAAGCAGCCTTGACAGCCCCAAGCTTGCTTTGGTTCATTTCTGGTGATAGCATGTGTTGGAAATGAACTCAAATGGAGGGATCCTACCTGCACCAAAAAGCAGAAGCCCCTGACACGAACACTGGAGACAGTCTGGTTCACTTCTGCAATTATGTTGTGTGATGGCTGAAAAAAGGAGTAAACCAATCTATCCCTATAGCAGACTGAACGGTGAATTAAATGCCCATCTGATCACACTCACAGACTGTGATTTTTCCATCAATCCTGAAAAGGTGTCATATTTCAGTGTATTGGCTTTTATGAACACTGTTATGCTGACAGTTATTTTTTAATGTAACATGAAATCCGTTTTTCTCATTACTTATTGATATTTTTGCATAATCTCTGAGATCTTCTCCTGCAGCTCAGGCAGGCAAGCTTCTTTCTTTGATGCGTGGTGGTGGCCAGGTTGCGACAAGCAAATGAAATTGCTATGGCTGAGCAGAGAGAAAGGGCATACCACAATCACTCATTACATACAGTGCCGTAACAGATGCTGTCCCCTTTTCACACATTAAGGCCTTAACCCTTCCAATCGCTCCCAGTCATTCTCTCCTCCGTTTGTTTCCGATATGTCTTCCCCTTATGTGATAGTCTAGTGGAGACAAGGTTTACAGGGTTGAAACTCCGGATTTTCCACGTAGGAAGGATTATGATTTCATCTGCCATCCTCCACCTCAGGCTTTCACGGATCCTCCTGAGTTTAGCTGTAGTCCTAACAACAGCAAAGGGAGAAATGGATGTCATCAGGAAAGCATATTGTGGCAAACTCTCCCTGTTGGAATGGAACATATTTGAAGGTAATTCGCTCTGAAATGAACAAGCAGTGGTCATTAACTTTACAAAATGTTTCTTATTTGTTATGGATTGATCCAGCTGCCTTCAGACTCTCAGGGGACACATATAAGGGGACTTTTCTGATGGGCACCTGCATTTCCAAATTTACTACTACTATCACTAATCTTTAGAGCACAACCATATTTTATAATCATACAGTCTACTTTGGTCATGCTAATTCTCTCACTCACTTCTGTCCTTCTGATAGTAGCTCTAGTCATCAAATTTCATTTATAGCCAGAAATGCATACACCTATTTTGTGAACGAACAAAGGATCACAGGTTCAAGAAGCAGGAATCCATTAATTTAATTTTGATGCCACTTTCCTCTTAGTCTAGAGACACTGGGCAACTCAAAAATGATTTTAAAAACTACCCCTAGCAGCACAACAAATTATAACAATAATAGAAAAGAATTAAACATGCAGTGTGTGCCAGAACCTTGTGCAGAGGTGGGATCCCCTGAGCAGGAGACCCAACCTCTGCAGTTGAGAGTATGTGCCTTCAGTTTCTCCAGTAAGGAAAACAAAGGCATGCCTGGTCCCTTGGTTGGCTGGCTGGCAAAAAGGACAAATTGCATGCATGATTGTCTTTGGGTGCATGGTTCCATTCAACAGGATTTTGTCCAGAATTTTTTTTTTAAATTACCAGTTTTAAAACTGTCCATCGTTGTTGTTATATGCGATCACGTTAAACTGTGACCCTATAACTGAGGGATTTTATTTCTTTATTTTAAATATTTCTGTGTCGTTTTTCTCCCCCAAAGGGCCTAAGGTGGCTTACGTTACTAAAACAGTATCTAAAAGCTAAACCAGTAAGTATACAAAAAGAATTAAACAAGTACTATAGTAAAATGGTAACTAAGATCAATATTAAAACACATTTAAAACAACATTAAAACACATTTAAAACAACAGAGCAGAACAGTCTATTTAAAACCCCTCTCAGACCACCAGTCATTAAGGAAAAACCTGCCTGACGTGACCTCCATAATTGTCCTCAACCCCTTTACTCAGCTCTTGTAAACTCAAGTCTGTGGCTTCCTTTAGGGAATCAGTCCATTTTGTATTTGGTCTTCCTCTTTTCCTGCTGCCTTCCACCTTTTCCAGCATTAATGTCTTTCCCAGAGAATCTTGCCTTCTCACGATGTGCCCAAAGTAGGACAGAGTCTGCCTTGATAAATTATGTCACTGATAAATGCTTTCCCCTACTGCTTCTGTTGTTCACTAGAGAAAACAAAAACTCTGAGTATGACTGCAGCTTCAGCAGTAGGGAACTTTTGGGAAATCTGCCACCTTAAAGATAAAGATCACATCTTTAGCAGCCCTTGAAAGATATCCATCTTTTCAATGTCTATGTGTCATAGTCTTGGACCGAAAAACTCATACACATACACTCACCTTTTATTATTACAGATAGAAGTCAGTGTTAAAAAAAATCTGCCACTTCCTTAAGTAACAAACATGGCTAATGAGCAGAATCAGAGTCAGACTATTGAGAGACGGGGGGAGGGCAAGCATTCCTGGGGCAATCCTAAGGTTTGTGGAAGGAAATTTTTAAAAATATGAAAATTGAAGGTGCAAGAAGGACAAAAATGAAAAAATAGCCCATTGTAACCAGAGCATGCTTAGTTAGCACCCAATGCTAAGAAATTATCAAGTGGAAAAGGAGATTGGAAATGGGTGGAAAGAGTCAAGGCTGAACTACTTGTGGTCTATAGAATGCAATGGGTAGAATGGCTGGGTGGCAGGAACTCTGAAGGTTAGATTAGGGTGATACACTGCAACATTTTATTGCTGCCACCACATGATTTCTGTAAAACCATTTCACCAGAGGCAGAGAAATCACTTCTTCTAGTAGGATTAAGTTGCAATTTTACCTGTAGCTGACAGGTTAATTATGACTTCTAGATCCACCTGTATTAAACATCCCCATTAAATACCCTGAGAAAACAAGCAAAGTTTCTACTAGTATCTCAGTTTCTATTATTCCTTTTGTATCCCATAACACCAATTTCCATGATAATTAAAAGTTGATCACTATTCCAAGAATTATGTAGGAAAGTGAGGCTCAGGTATCACGTTGCAAACATTTATTACTGTTTGCTCCATAAAAATGTTCCAACCAACATGATGTTCAGCTTCAATGATACTGGATTTTTTTAAAAAAAGTTAACGATTATCATTACTATATCTAAAGAAAAGGTTAATTCCTCAACTATTCAAAATTCATGTCTGTATGTTCTTCCTGTTTGGAGTGCTTTTTGCTTGGATTGGATTTTTTAAAATCTGCAAATCTGAATGTACAGCCAGGATCCTATTGTCAATTTATATGTTTATAAGTGGAATCACATAGGTTGCAGTGACAATTTATCTCTACAATAAAAGTAAAATGTGATGCTTATATACCATCCCATAACACTTTAAGCACTTTCTGGGCATTTTACAAGATGAAGGCTACATTTTTCCCTCTCCCCCGCAAACTGAGTACTCATTTTACTGATCTTGGAAGGATGGAGGGCTGAGTCATCTTTGAGCCAGCTACCTGAATCCATTCGCATCAAAAGCGGATTGTCTAAGTCTTGATTGCAGTTTAAGTACTGTGCCATGAAGCTCCTCTACTACAGTGGTGGTTGTGTTCTTGGTCAGGCACCCAATTGTGCAATGGGCATATAACCAGGAATGCAACTGGATTTCATTAACTAGCAGCAATTTTCTCCTGCATTATACGCAATATCATTTGTGTCCATATAACCAACAATAGGATTCTGGTCAATGTTTTTTTTCAGTGGAATTGTATGGGTATCATTGTATTCATCTGGAAAATGCAGAATATTCTAAAGATGCATTTTGCTTACTAATTTCTTCTTCAGAACACATCTTTATACTTCTGAGTACACTAGTGAGGGAATATCAAACCATCAGTTCATTGGAGGAATACAATCTGTACACAGTTTGACTCTGTAGCTTCCCATTTTCTTGCCCTGTCTGAAAAGAGAATTACTCAGCATTTACTGAGACAATA